TGATTGTAAAGGATGCTAACAAAGTTTGACGTACTTGTCAAGTTCGATCAATTCGTGATGGGAATCTGGTGTTGCCAGAGACGTATACTGCCTTTCTGACTGTTTCCTCTTCAATGCGGGACAGGAAAGACTGCAGAAGAAAGCAGACAGTTGCAACAAAGGCTTCGTAACGACTATTTCTCGTCGTCCTTTGTCTCAAAGATCAAAACTCGGCACGTGTCTTTGGCACGTTGTTGAAATTTTTGAAACATCTTTTCATTTCCACCTGGTACTTCATTTCCATCTGGTCCTTTATTGAACTACAAGACTTGAAATCTTCCTGTCGAGGGTTGTTTATTGTTTATTGTCAGTTTGTACTTAAAAACACATGAATGTGTCATGAATTGAGTATAACGGATGTGAACCCATGAAACCTAGCTGTTTACACCACCACCTGCTCTTTGATGGTTTACGCATAACGAGAGGAGACAACACTGTTGACAACGCCACATGTTCCAAGTTCAATCCTCCTGTCTGAACTCATCCTTGTCGACTCTTTCATCTAACGGAAGAGGTTTCAGATTTTGCAAAAGAGGATTTCAGCAGCAGATGTGAGGCAGATCAAAGGGTTGTTGTGTATCATCTCTAACCGACAGCAGATGACTTTGATCCCGATTATGTGCTTCCGTGATTTTGTGAGGAAGTCAGTCTCAGAACTGCAAAACACTATTATTTTGCTAGTAGGAGAAGTCAGATTTTCCTTATAGTGAAAAAAATGAAATCATTTTTAACCAACAGCAGATGTCAATGCTACAGTGATGATCCCGAAAGTGTGTTTCCGTTGCTTTTGTGAGGAAGTCAGTCTCAGAACTGCGCAACACTATAACAGAGAGTTCAGATTTTCCTTCTAGTAAAAAAATAAGATCATCTTTAACCGACAGCAGATGACTTTGATCCTCGTAGTGTGTTTCCGTTGTTTTTTGAGGAAGTCAGTCTCAGAACTGCGAAACACTATAACAGAGAGTTCAGATTTCCCTTCTAGTAAAAAAAATAAGATCATCTTTAACCGACAGCAGATGACTTTGATCCGCTCTAGAGTGTGCTTCCGTGATTTTGTGAGGAAGTCAGTCTCAGAACTGGAAAAACACTACTAATTTACAAGTAAGAGGGTTCAGATTTTCCTTCCAGTGATAAATGAGACAGAGAGTAGGGGCGCTAGGGCGGATGTCAGTGATACATTGATGATCCCGGGAGTGTGCTTCCGCTGTTTTGTAAGAAACTGTCCCGGAACTGCAAAATATCACTCGAAGAATCGTTTTTCAATGTCCAAGATTTTTGTTTAGAGACCGACTGATTTTAATTACCAGCAGAGTCCTAGAAAAACTCTAACGTATGGTTTAAAGGCAACAAAGCACACAAACGTTTTCTAAATTCGTTCTTTATCTATGATGTTCGTTGAGGGGTCTGTCAAATTTTGGTGGCCTCATCGTTCGCAGCATCTAGTGAAAGATCATGGTGTAAGCAATCTTTAAGCAGATCTTTCGGTGGCTGCAAAGAGACAGTATCAAGTTATAGATTTGCCACCAATTCTAACCGAAACGCTTACACCGCCAGACATCTGCTTGGAGATTGGGTGCAAGGAGGTCCTGCGCATGCCCGCCTGTCATGTTCTGCTGCTCTCGTGCCCAGGGCGACCGCCATATTGATGATGCAGGCGCCCTTGGCATACATTCAGTCCCTACCATGTAATGAGTCACGGGGGCATCCTTACAATCAAATCCTGAAACAATGGATAAAATGAAGTGAAATATAATCGATCTAGTCTCTACCGTACGTAGCCAGACTACCTTTGGTGTATGGCTCGGTGTGCGATGGTACAAATACTTCTAACTGGCCATGCAAGTTGGTGATTCAAAGTGAATCACCAACTTTCATGGAATGATTGCCTAATCTCCAAGCAGATCCCTCTCGGTGGCAAAAAGACAGTATCAAATTGGCCAGGCAGTATCCATTGGCCAGAGAAGGTCCGCGGCTACCGACGGTTGGTGGGGCTAGCGACAAAAGAACGGCCGTATATAAAAAGGTAACGATCATTCCCCCACAACCTCTGCTTGGAGAGTAAACTTTCTTGGCCAGATGGCCGGATGGAGGCCTGGTGAACCCCATTCTTGTATAAGCCACGTGCTGAATTACATCATCACCAGGACTCCAGGACGAATATAGCATAAGTTGACACACTTATGAAGATCCTAACCAAACAAACCGACCAAACCAAACTTGGAAACAGGGTCAGAGTCCGTCCGGCCGGTCAAGCGAAAATGGGACAATAACCGCAGGGTCAGTGACAGACGGTGTGACGGCAACAAGGCCAGGGCACGAGTGCGCACCTTGTGTAAGCATGTGTGATGCAACACCTTATCCTTCACAAGGGTGACTGAATAACCTCTACCAGGCTTCGGGAGGCGGCCGGAAAGAGTAAAAATCGGCCAAATGGAGAGATACTAAGTAACATGCCAGGGGAGTTTGTCTGCTGGGAGAGAACAGTTTGCCGCACCCGGATGTTCTCTCCCAGCAGACCAACTCCCCCGGCACTGTTATCTCTCTATTTGGCCGATTTCTAATCTTTCCAGCCGCCTCCCGAAGCCTGGTAGAGGCTAGTGACTGAAGTCAATTACGACGACTTCTCTTCATCGAAGAGCCTTGGACCAATATCAGCGGCAGCAACACCCTTCCCATTATAGCAGCCCGTACTTGTCCTAAAAATGGGGTGTCCTGACCGTATGTCAACCTAAAGTGCGTCATCTGTCAGTAAATGGCATCTGGATGGATGCTACACCGGAATCTTATTCAACTCCGGAGCCGAACAACCAAATGTCATCGTCTTCGTTATTATATTATCCTCTTCAGAGGTGAAAAAAGACCAAACAAAAAAAACCTGTATGTGGATTACGCAAACTATCAGGTAAAATAAAAGCCAGACGATGATCGCATGCAAAAGCATTGTGACAGTGTCTGACCTGGTATCATGGACATCAGCAAATGGGAGCGGACCAAACTAGACCAGACCAGGCTGGCAGTCACCTTTCACCTACATAGGAGTTCTGAAAAAACGGACACTGCTGACGAAGTGGTGAAGGGGGGGGGGGTTGTACTGATGCTAAAACTGCTACTCCCCAAGCAGAGGTTGATGGTGAAAGATCGTTTGCTTTTTATGGCCTTTTATATATGGCCTGTTTGTCGCTACCACCGGTACCACCGACAAAAAAGGGCCGTGTATAAAAAGCAAACAATCTTCCACCATTAACCTCTGCTTTGAGAGTAAAAACTGCACCGTTTCATGTATTGTCCTGCAAAGTACACTGGAAGGCTACAATGGGGGTATACTTCATCATCATCATCATCATCAACCTAACAAACTTCACAGACAAAGCACTTGGCTTGCTGGATAGTCTGACAGCTAAGTGCGAAGGCGTGAAGAAATGTGTGATACTGTTAGAAAATGTAGGTGAACTTTCCATTCAACGTTATTGCTTTAGAAGTAGACCTGGACAAGATTGGAAAGAAGCAAACTTAGAAAGTGGAAAAGTAGAAAAGGTGACGAAAGTTCTAGCCTCTATCAGGCTTAGGGAGGCGGCTGGAAAGAATATAATTTGGCCAAATAGAGAGATAACATGCCAGGGGAGTTGGCACTAGAGAGTACGGTTTGTCTCTATTTGGTGAATTATACCCCTTCCAGCCGCGTCCCAAAGCCTGGTAGAGGCTACGAAAGTTCATCACAAAGGCAATAGTCTGCCTACCCACCCCGATCTCCAAGTGGGACCGCCCAACCTGTTCGGCTATCCCGGATGTTCCACGTGCTCCTCCCGTGCACGGTGGCTGCGTGCCCAGAGTAGGCGGGTCCGGCACAGTAGGCCGATGACCTGCCGAACTTCACGGACAAATCACTCGGGCTCCCGGGCAGGCTGTTTGACAACTCAGAGCGGAATGTGCGACACTGTAAGATAATGTAGCTCAACATTAATCTACAAGCCTTACGGGCAAGGGAGTCTATATATGGGGGCCTGCATGCCCTTTTTCGTAAGGCATAATCATGCCAAAAATCCGTAGGCAGCCTCACCAAAAATCAACGTAATTCGTACTAGTACATTAGCCGTAAAGCGTAAAGTCGTAATCAGCTCTGAGTATTTAACTAAATTCGTAATCAGCGCCACCCCCACCCCCCATGCAGGCCCTCATATATTGGCCGCCTGTATGAAACCATTGGCCGCCCCAAGCCTTAGTAGGCGTATTTGATTAATCTCCAAGCAGACTCTCTGGGTGGCTGCAACACAGTATCAAATTGGCAAGACAGTATCAAATTGGCCAGGCAGTATCCAATAATATGGGGCTGCAAATGGTTACAGGCGACCAATATACCTCACTTGCCCCACAGAATGTGCTTGGATATTAGTAATGGATACTGGCTGGCCGATTTTGATACTGTCTTGTTGTTGCAGCCACCCAAAGATCTGCTTGGGGATTAGCTAGCTGAACATTATTCCTACAACAACGCTGGTTTTATAGACAATAGATTATAGATTTTTTAGAAGACCCTCGTAGACGATTGGGAAGCGTCCCGATGCAACGTGCTGTTTGTTATATATTAGTCATGGGGCACAAATGTTCAGGGGTACACATTACAACGTCACTTAACTTCCTCTCTTCCTCGAAGGAAAAAGGTAAACAAACTCACGCGTCACGTGCGGCGATCCTGCGAGAGAAATACGTTCCCACCGCGCGATTGGCGCAACTTGCCTGACGCCTGGCTCGTCAGAGTTAAACGTGAAATCTTTGACCCTGCTCGTCATGCCTCCGGTCTTCGCCAAGTGGATCACGCCAGCCAGCAGGTCTTTAAAAGACGATGTCACGTTGTGGGGCAGTACAGACGTCTGTAGTACCCACACGAATCGGACGCCTCTACCAAGCAACCAGCACAGACGTCTGTTGTACCAAGAAGAGTCGGACGCCTCTACCACGCAAGCATGGCTTCTCCGAAACTTCAGACCAGCCCGACTCGGCTGTTCGTCGGTGACACCACGTACGGTCTGGCGCTAGTTCTCGTCGTGCTGTTGGTGTTCATGAACAAGAAGAGTCGGCGGGCGCTGCGGTTCCCGCCTGGCCCGCCGGCCTGGCCGCTGGTCGGGCACCTGCCGCTTCTGGGCGGGCGGCCGCACGTCAGGTTCGCCGAGTGGAGCCGGCGGTACGGCCCGGTGCTGGGGGTAAGGCTCGGACCGCAACAGGTGGTCGTGCTGAACGGTTACGCCGCGGTGAGGGAGGCGCTGGTCACCAAGGCCGAGGTCTTCTCCTCCCGCCCGGACCTGTACCTCATGCGCCTCTTCAGCAACGGCAAAGGTGGGTCTTTTTTTCTCATTCATTAGAATTGCAAACATCGCAATACAATGCATTGGGTGCCCTGGCAGTCATGGCTGATATCGGGCCACATACATACGCAGCTCACATACGGAGACAGACATAAGTTTACTCATAATTGTAGGTAGGTCACGAATTTCCCTAGCCTCTACCAGGCTTCGAGAGCGGCTGGAAAGAGTAGTAATTGTTTGTGTACATTTCTGTGTTATCTTTATGTAGTCGTATATCTTTGTTAATTATTTTATGTTCGATTACGGCGCTTATATAAGTGTAATTAACTTGAGTGCGTCGCCATCGCGTTCTTGTTTTTCTTTGATGTGCTTTAATAAATAACAAAAGAGTAGAAATTGGCCAAAGAGATTTTTGTGGGGGTTTAAAATATATTACAATGTATATACAAGATGAAATATTACTTTGATAATGCCTAGGCCAGCCCTTTATCCTTTAGCCGTGCAAGGCATGTAAGACAAATTCAGTTTACAAGTTAATATGTGCATCGGACATTTTTGTGTGTTCAATTGAAAATTATTTCACATAAGTGAAGTGATCCACTAAAGGAGTGCATTTATCCCCTCCCCTGGCATGTTATCTGTCTATTTGGCCAGTTTCTACTCTCTCCAGCCTCTTCCGAAGCCTGGTAGAGATTATTCATTTCCTGACCTAGACATAATTTCGGCTGTCTTCTGTCTGGGCCACATGTAGAAGATTTATGGTTGTGTTTCCTGACTTAGGTATGATTGAACCGACATTTGTCGTCAGAGTCAAATAAAAGCTAGGGCGGTGTATTCTCTGACCTAGATAGGTTTAATCTTTTGCCTGTTGGAGGATTAAGGAAAGGAAAGAAATTCAGTTCAGTTCAGGTTTATGTAAAATTGACTGACATGCCAAATACACAATATCACATGAAATATGTAGAATTTTCAGTCGCTGTCCTTGATAAGATATTGCATGCCCTGGTAGCAATAGTGCTCGGTGGTGTCCTAGCTCTATCAAAATGTAACGGCGGACCATTGCGACTCCAGAGTCGACAGGTTTATTGACTGGCATTTCACATGAAATATGTCGAATTTTTACAGTCACTGTACATGTCCCGGTAGCACTAGTGCGTAGTGGTCCTCAAAAGTTAATGGCTGATCGTCGCAAATCCCACGTCGTTAGGTTTTATCTAAAATTTGACTGGCATTCCACATACAAAATGTCACATGACATATGTCAAAATTTTCACAATCACTGTTCGAGACAACATTTTGCGTGTCCTGGCAGTACTAGTGCGTAGTGGTCTTCAAAACCTAACAGCGGACCGTCGCAAACCCCAAGTCGACAGGTTTTATCTAAACTTGACTGGCATTTCACATGAAATATGTCGAATTTTCACAATCACTGTATACGTCTGTACTTGATATGACTAGGCATGTCCTGGTACCACTAGTGCGTTGTGGTGGTCTGTATCAAAACCTAACCGTTGCAAATCCCAAGTCAACAGTTTTTATATAACATTGACTGGCATGCCAAATACATAGTCAGATGAAATATGTCAAATTTTCAGTCACTAGCACTGCATTTGATAAGATTCTGCATGTCCTGGTAGCACTATTGTGGTAGTGTCAAAGCCCTGTTACGGTGGGCCGTCGCAAATATCGCATGTCGACAGGTGGTAGATGTTAGTTCCGTGTTCAAGGCTCCGTTCGGACCAGCAGAAGTTCAAAGTCACGTCTGACGTCACCGTAGCCGGACGGGGGTTGCGTTTGACCTTCGCCGCCCGACTTGTCGACAGGGCCGGAAACGTTGGCCGGACAGCTCTGAGCTCTCAGGTACCTCCCCTGCGGGCCGCGGCTAATTACGACTCTACAGATGGTCGGGATTAGCTGAAGACTCAAGGCGAACTCTGACGAACGAATGTTTAGCTCTTGTCGTCAGAGTCCGGCTACAAAATTGATGATTTGCTGCCGGGCAGTCCCCCGGCCTTCGGAACCTTTTACTCAAGCCCAACTGACTCCGGCCTTGCCAGCAATGTTATGTAAAGCGGTGTAACCTTCTCTCGGCAAAACCTTCAACGAGTTTAAAATTAGCGAGTTATCGTTATGTAGCCCTTATTTATAAACAAAAACTAGCCGTATGCTCTTTCTCTGTTCATGTCTTATAGTTAAGAAATGTTCACCTTGCAAAGAAATGCTCACCAAACATTACTTCCAGGACATGCAAAATATTATCAATGTGGAGCGTAAGATGAAATTGTAGCTTTTATTTCATTGTCAGGGTTCTTTTGTACTTTTGTACTGGTATATTTTCTACACCGGCCAAACTCCTGAAGTTTGAACACAAGAAGGAAACTCACTATGAATTTTCAGTCGGTTATACATCTGATGAATGTCGACGATTTCAACTGAGAATTCACTTTTGAAGTCCTTTCTCATGTTGGAACAAACCTAAAGCTCTAGATCTACCAATGCAGATGGGCTTTCATGCGAAGATTAAAGCATGCAATCTCCAAGCAGATCTTTTGGTGGCTGCAACATATAGTATCAAATTGGCAATATATTGGCAAAGCTTATTAGACTTGGAGTTAGATGATCAAGGGTTCGGTGTAATGTAGCTAGGTTCCGCCCCGCCGCGTGCCTGCGAAGCTGGTGTGTTACACCGGAGGGCGGTTATACCGGCTATACAGATACAGATACAGAAACTCAACAACTATGTTTTACTCTTGTTGCCCCAGGAATCGGCCTGGCACCTTACAGCGCCAAGTGGCGAGCCCAGCGCAGGGTGACGGACCGCGCGCTGAGGAACCTGGGAGTCGGCAAACTCAGCTTCGAGCCCAAGATCATGGAGGAGGTGAGATTCAAGATTCAAGATGTGTTTTTCTTGCATATTCGCAGTGACCCTCTCGGTCACTGAATTGCAAATAATTATGTTTGCCGAAGGAAAACAATATGTTTTTGCTACGTTTCCTCTTCTCCGAACCAAAAAGGTCAATGGCCTGAACCAGACTGTCTGTCACCATGGTACCTAGTGTTGGGTTATATCATGCTGCAATTTTGTAGCAGGAGGGATTTAGACTCTTGTCTGACCATATAGATGAATGTGTTTGAGTAAGATATGCATTTGCTTTGCAAATCTTACCTTTCTAGTTTCTTACAACGTTTAATGACACAACAAGATGGGGACGTACTCAAGCTCATGGCTTATGTTCGTGTCGTCATCAGAACAAACAACATTACAAAAGTATATCAAAGCAAATACAGACATGCAAAGCATAAGGATAACAAAGTAACATAAGGTTAAAACGAATAATAACTGTGATCATATGAAATATAGGGAATTGATAATGAAGCGTTGTGTGTAGGTAAATTGCAACTAGGTACTTCCACGTCCAGAGGTGGAAAGAATAGTATCCCATGATGCATTGCAAACAAAATGGCCACCTGTGTTCTACGTCAAACTGGTAGGATAAGAAAATTACTTACTGGTATCTTTTGTTTTCTGAACCTAGGTGGAAGAGTTCATCTCAGCAGCGGCACGGTACGAGGGCGCGGCGTTCGACCCGAAGTACCACATCGCGGTGGGCATCCTCAACATCATCTGCCACCTGGTGTTCGGCAGGCGGTTCGAGCACGACGATCCGCTGTTCGTCAGGTATGAGAACTTACCTGTGTGCGAAAGAACTTGTAAATAATGCATGTCAAACAAGGTGGTGGAAGACGAAACACATTTTATATCAAACTGCCCCTTCTACGATCACGAAAAAGGACCCCCAGCCCAGTATCATCCTTAACCAACTGACCTTCGTTCCTTGCCGATCGTGTGGACTGTCCTAAGGTTTAATATTGGACTTAACCTGTTATACGAATTAAATTCCCTGACAAATCGTTCATGCAAATAGCTGGAGAGTACTGTATCTTGTTACCCATCCTGTTGTCCATCGTTTATTCTCATGTTACATGGACTTGCAATTAGCTTACGGGCATGAACTTGCAATAAAGCTTCTATGGCTTCGACGTCGATGGATTGTAATAGGCATCCACTGCAAGCTGATGCTCTTTTGTTTCAACAAAATGCGAAGTCAAACCCACTGGCTTTAGGAGTGGACAGCAGTTCTTTGTGTAGTATTACTAGTAATTTCCCTGTTCTTATACCAAAAGTTTCTTCTGTACTTCCAATTATCCTTCGGGAAGAAACTTGCAATAAACTTTCTGTGTTTTTTTTTCTTCGTTAAGTTGTACAACGCAACGCAGATGCTCTTTTGTTTAAAAAAATGGGAAGTCAAACCCAGTAGCTTTTAGGAGTTACAGTAGTTCTTTTAAATATGTATTAACTTGCCTGTTCTTGTACCAAAAGTTTCTTCTGTACTTCCAATTATCCTTCGGGTAGAAACCTGCAATAAACTTTCTGTGTTTTTTTTTTATTTCGCCAGGTTGTACAACGCTTTGGAGGACATCTCGCATCACGGGGGGTCCGCGCAGCACCTCAACGTGTTTCCCGCCTTGCGTCACGTGCCGGGACTGAACGCAGGCGCAGTGCACACCGTTCGCGCGGTCAGGGAGGGCAGGGACTTCGTCCGCGAGATGATTGGTCAGCACAAGGCGACCTTTGACCCTGAGAACATCCGGGACTACATCGACGCCTACCTGCACCAGCTGCAGAAGGAGACGGAGGACGGAGAGAAGAAAAGCGCCACCTACCTCTCGGACGAGGAACTGGAGCAGAACGTGTTCGACCTCTTCATCGCCGGAAGCGAGTCCACGGCCACAACCCTCCGATGGGCGACTCTACTCCTCCTGGTTAACCCGGAAGTACAAGAGAGAGTTCAACAGGAGCTGGACGCCGTGCTAGGCCAGGGGCAGGCGTCGGTGCTGGACCGGACCTCCCTGCCCTACACCCAGGCAACCATCCAGGAGATCCTCCGCTACCGGCCGTCGGCAACCTTCAGCCTTCCGCACGCGACCACAGCCGACACCACGCTGCAGGGGTACGACATCCCCGCCGGCACGCAGGTGCTGGTGAACGTGTACGGCATGGGCATGGACCCGGCGCTGTGGCAGCACCCAGGCACCTTCGACCCCACCAGGTTCCTGGACGGGGAGGGCAAGCTGTCGGTCCCGGAGCACTTCAAACCCTTCCTAGTCGGTAAGATATCTAATCTAATCCATAACCTTGTAATAAATGAGAAGCGTTTTCCCTCGACCCTTATGGCGAAAAGAAGAACACTTGTTGTGTTGCATGATTTGATCCTCTGAAAAAAGGGCTACCAACAAAACCTATAGCCTACCGAGTGGGCAAAAGGCTCGAAAGGTAACCATTTTGTGTTTACCAAAACTTACCGTGCAATAATTATGAAATTCTCCCCTTATTACTGCATGCACAAAGAAACTAATTCTAGCTTAGAAACAAAAGTACGATCGCCGGTTACTATGTTCGATCGCCGCTTACTGTTCGATCGTTGCTAAGTTCGCCCGTTGCTAAGTTCGCCCGTTTCAAAGTTCGCCCGTTTCTAATTTCGACCGTTGCTAAGTTCGATCGTTACTAAAGTTCGCTCCTCCCCTCTCCCTCCCAGGCCGCCGTGCGTGTATCGGCTCGCAGCTAGCGAAGATGCAGCTCCTGCTGTACATCACCACCGTGCTCCAGCGCTTCTCCCTGCGGCTACCCGAGGGCGAGCCGCCGCCGAGCCTGGACGGCAGCCTGGGCGTCATGCTGCAGTGTCCGTCCTTCCGGATGTGCGCGGTGCCTCGGGCGGTGACGTCGTCATGCTGATCCCGGCATCCTCTACGCGAGTCCAGCCGCAAAACGTCACGTGTCGTAAAAACTGTACAAAGCGCAGGAACTGTGAGTTCTTTTATAAACTGGTGTTCTCAACTCAGTTGTCTGTATAACTTGGACTTGTGGCACTACCTCCTTCGAAGCTTCTGGGGCAGACATACAAACCGCACATCGCCATGTTCAGGACAGACTATATCCTCAAATATTTACATCTTACCTCCAATTTTGCCTCCAAGCATTGATGTATAGATACTAGTTCACTTGTATATATAGATATATTTCAGAACAGTTGTACATACGTGCTGCATATAACTTCTCCAAGCAGATCTTTCGGTGGCTCCAATACAGTATCAAATCGCCAACACAGTATCCAATAGATACCAGTAGGAAAATATACCAGCACAAAAGTAGAGCCTAAATTAAGCTGAAGCCTAAACCTTTGCTAGGAGAGTATAATTAAGTGTAACTAAAAGGAAAAAAAATGTATAATAGATTGATACAATGTATCTAAAGGCTGAATTTATGAAGTGGCAACAAAAGTTTTGGAATCGAGAAAGATTGGTTAACGCTTCTGCTGCATTTATTACTAACTCTTTGGTCAAAGATGTATTTTGTGTATTTCAAAAAGAAATGTCTATATTTCTGTAATCTATATATCAAAGTATATATTTGTGTATGTAATAATATATGTATGTATGTATGTATGTATGTATTGATATGTATTTATTAGAACTACATGTATATGACGACAGAATAATACTCTGGAGTAAAAATGCAGGAAATTCTGGAAACTTTTTCATCCTCATCCGTTGTATAATGTACATGTAAAACCTCATCAAGAGATTAGAGAAGATGTCATGAATGGAAAACATTGAAATGGATGGAAAACACTGAAGTAGATTTGATTAAACAGGAATTTTTCTCAGCAAATTCAATTTTGTGATGTCATGATTGTTTCAGCTTGCTTACAAATTCCTTTATTTAATCCATGCTTATCATAAGTCGATACAAAACAAAAATAAAAAGGAAGATGCCTCAAAGTCAACAAACATAAAGTCATGGTTACAAAGTAATAAAACAATAATGTAAGGTAATACAACGTCAAGCATTATAAAATGAAATTAGGACGAAAATTTGTATATCAATGACAAAATGACAAAAATAATGACAAATTAAAAAAACAACGGCTATCAATATATAAAAGCTATCATGGAGGTATGAGATCTCCGAATTCGTTTTATCTAAAACCAGCCTTGTCATTTTTCCATAAAAAAACCCAGAGCTCTATATTTGGCGCGGTCTGAAGTGGAACTACTGTGAGAAGGCGAAGGTTAGTTAGTATCACTACTTGGCCCGTTTCGCCCCTCTCTATTTATAACCTAACCGCTATCACCCCTGGCATGGAGAACCTGCTCAAGCCCGGGCACAAATCAGAAACATCGGGAGAAACGCGGAAACAACATCTTCACATGTACGCGGCAATGCCCGACAGGAAAAACTTCTTCAACTTGTGATGTTCAACGTTTACAATAACAACACAAGATAGTGAGATGCACCCATATGGCTTTCAAAGAATGCTCGAGATATGGTAACATGGGATGTTAAAGATTTGTGCAATTGCAGAAGCACTCATATGACTTTCAAGAAAATGAGGATACAGTAACGGAATTTTGATGAAGACTTTCTTTGTTTATGAGACTTCACCATAACAACATGGAGGGGGAGACAAAACAGGTGATTGGTCACCTCTTCACGTTGTCTCCCCCACTTGCAGACTGTGATGTGATATTCGACATTTTGTTAATATTACATTAACTATTTGTGTATTATCTATTTTTGCATGAACTTACTAGACCTTTGGGAAGAATGGCCAAGATCGACAGGGCATTCCAGTCAAAATAATGGACATTAATTGATTGATTGATTGACTAAAATGACCTTATAAGGTATGAAGATGACACATATTCACTTGAACCAATAACTAGCATACCCCGGTTTGATAAGACAACGTTAACGCAAGGTCATCTGGGTTGAAGGGCAAGACGTTTTTGGGAATTCAGTTCTTTTCCAGGGGGAAGATTTCTTAAAAATGTGTACGAAAGGCCAGGGTTGTTCATGTGAACGTCTGGGAATAAATAAGTGACACGGACGGTGCTACAAACCACCTGGCGTTCGGGAACGGAAGAAAAGTTTGTTCTAACCGAATGTCGAGGCCGTCCAACAAGAAACTACATTAACCAATTGATGGACGACACCCAACTCGACAGGAGAAATGAATGATAGGAAGAGATGGAAAACAGTCATTGGAACAGAGGTAATGTCGACTTTGTGTGTGTGTGTGTGTGTGTGTGAGAGAGAGAGAGAGAGAGAGAGAGACCAAGTGCTGTCACCTAAAGTAGCTACCAGTAGAGTTGTAAAGAATTGCACCTTCTCAGTTCTCACAGGTTCAACTTAACAGGTTCAACTGTGTTATAATTAAAAGAATGACCAGAAAATGGACTTTGAAAATCCAGTTTTGCGGCCCTAAAATTGCATTGGATGTCTTTAAGCTCACAGAAAAAGACAAGCAGACCCACCCGGTTCCTCGAGCTTTATCAGGTGCCGAGGAGTTCGTCCTTGTGCGAAGATCTCACGCAGTGTACACTGACCCCCGCTTATATCGGGTCAAGCACAACTTCTGTACTTGACGTTGGTAAGTCCCAGCTGCGTTCTGCCCCTAATCTCCAAGCAGATCCTACGGTGGCAAGGCAGTATCCATTGGCCAAAGGGTTAATGGACACTCCTCTAGCTGGCCAATGGATACTACCCTGCCACCGTAGGATCTGCTTGGAGATTAGGGGTGCATAAACTCGTATTTTGCCTGCGAAGCTGGTGTGCTACGCCGAAGGACGGTTATATCAGCCATACAGATATAGAAGCGTTGTTGGTAAATCCTTAATGGAGCGTAATATATTGGTGACTAAGTTAATTCTACGTAGCACGTTACTTGCTATTCATTTAAGCGTAAAGCTGTCATGATTGGATCATGAAAACTCTTCATATCGCGAAATCGAACACCAGATTCCACAATCGTAGAATCGTGGAATTCCACAATTGTGGGGTCGTGTGGCGTAGCGGCAGAGTGCGCGACTCGGAACTAAGAGTCCCTGTTTCGAGTCCTGACATGCCACCGATCTTGTGCCCTTGGGAAAGGCACTTCACACGACTATCCTCACTCAGCTCAGGTGTAAATTAGTATTGTCCTGTAATGTATTTGTCCCCTGTGTTGGTGGCGGCATTGATATAAGTTGAAGAAACTTGAGTGTGTCGTCACCATGTCTGGTGATTACATATTGGAATTAAAAAAAAGAAGAAAAAAAAAAAGATTCCACAAAAGCGTCGGTCGCCCCTTCCCCCTCATTGTACAGACCCTCAGCCAGCCAGACAGCACAAGAGTCCTTGAAGTGGTTAAGACCTATCATCATATCATCGGAAGATTATGTTTGGCCTCCGGCGAGAACCACACAAACAAAGAAAGCAAGACGGAGATTTTAGAGCGCACACGTGTGAGTCGGTGACTTGTTAACGTTAACAAGGAAAGGAGAGGAAGGGAAGGGAAGGGAAGGGAAGGGAAGGGAAGGGAAGGGAAGGAAGGAAGGAAGGAAGGAAGGAAGGAAGGAAGTAAAGTGATCTCGATCCAGTTTTAGCTCACCGAAGAGCTAATCTCCCACCAGTCGTGACAGAGAAGACAGATGCTATGTACAGTATTTACAGGTTCATTGTACCGGGGAAATTCCCCTAGCTCTTTTCGACAAGCACAAATGAACAGTGGACCACGGCTTAACGTCCCATCGTAAGGACTGCAGCCCTTTACAGTAGCATCCAGAGGCAGGGTCGCTACACAAGGAATAGAAAATCCAATAGTAGTACCCCATTAGTGATTGTGAGTTGATTATTTGCCTGGCCAATTTGATACATTCTACTTGCAGCCACCAAGAGATATGCATGTATTTGTCCCCTGTGTTGGTGGCGGCATTAATATAAGTTGAAAAAACTTGAGTGTGTCGTCACCACGTCTGGTGATTACATGTTGGAATAAAAAAAAGAGATATGCTTGGAGAGTATGACTGAAGCCATACGGCTGCAAAATGTAGAAACTGGCCAAATAGACAAATATGCCAGGGGAGTTGTTCTGCGCCATAAAAAAGAGAACAGCTTGCCGCTCGGGATCAACTCCCCTGGCATCTTGCCAACGTTGCTCTTTCCAGCCGCTTCCCGAAGCCTGGTAGAGACTAGAAGCTCATCTACACACCCTACCAGTCATGACAACCGCCGTTCTCTTTATACGCACTTGTAAGCTCTCGGGGACTCCCGCTGAGCTGTCGGGCGATAACTCTGGAGTTGTCGCCGGAGAATTTTAGTCCCTCTTTACACGGCGTTGCTGCCATCGCCAGTGCCGCCGTCGCAAAAAGCGTGTGTGTAAAGTGGGCCGAAGTGAGGTATTGTTCTCCCAACACACCTGCAAGGCCTTCTGAGAACCATAGAACAAGACGGACCTGCCTGTCAAAGAGACTTATTCCCTATATACATAGAATAGTTAAACCTTTATTGTTACAGCATATATATATATACCCTGTACGTAATTATAAGACGTTATCCACACATGTTTAGTTGTAGAAGACCATGCAAAAGTCCCTGTACTTTTTTGTTGTGTCAATAAAGAATCTATATAACCTTCAGACGAATTGACCCCGAAGCCTCGCCCCTGATAGAAACAGTGCCCCGGGGGCGAACGTGTAGACCTCTGTAAAGGGAACGTGTCTCTTAACACCCAGCGTAAGCTCCGAGCCTTTCAGGCCCCTCCCCCTCAATGAAGCACGGTGTTTAATGCTAACAACAAACACCGGGTACAACACGTATAAAGGCACGGCTGTGGTAAGGAGAAGGCAGTCTTCAAGCAACAGTTGCGTTAAGGAGAAGGCAGACACCAGCCATGGCAGCCTTCAAGCAACAGTTGCCGTTGTTCAAGACCGGAGACTTTACGGGGTTTCTGGTGGCGGTTCTGGCCGTTCTGGTGGTGTGTGTGAGTCGGAAACGTCGCCGTACGGGACTAGCGTTCCCGCCTGGCCCGCCGGCCTGGCCCCTGCTCGGGCACCTGCCGCTGCTGGGCGGGCGGCCGCACGTCAGGTTCTCCGAGTGGAGCCGGCGGTACGGCCCGGTGCTCGGGGTAAGGCTCGGACCGCGCCAAGTCGTGGTGCTGAACGACTTCGAGTCGGCCCGAGAGGCGCTGGTCACCAAGGCCGAGGTCTTCTCATCACGGCCCGACCTGTACCTCATGCGGCTCTTCAGCAACGGGGGGAAAGGTAGGAGTGAATACTCACATTCAATTCTACTTTATACATAAAATACTCCATCGCAAGACTTGTTTGTCAGTGTTTCTATCTGTCTGTATGTCTGTCTCTTTCTGTTTATGGAAAGGTAGAAGCGACAATACTCGCATACAATGCTACTTTTAAGATACATGCATGTAACACTTTATCCCAATGCTTGTCTGTCAATGTGTCTGTCTGTCTATGTGCTTGTCTCTCTCTCTCTGTCTATGTATGAGTGTGTGTGCATGTGTGTGTCAGTCTCTCTCTCCCTCCCCCCTCTCTCTCTCTCTGTGTGTGTGTGTGTGTGTGTGTGAGAGAGAGAGAGGGGGGGAGCGAGAAAGGTGAAGGTTAGATTTTACATTATACAATTCTTGTCATTAGTTAGGCTGGTAAAAAAAACTTAAATTGAATGCCACATGCATACTATGTACTAAAACAGGACTACCTGACACAAAAAAATCTTCGAAAAATATACCCGGGCTAAACAAATGTGGCTCGTCGCTACTAGAGCTAGCCTGCAAGTTCTGTGACCTCCGTGCTCTTGTCGATGAAATATTTTGTGGACAAGGTGCTTAAAGTGCACGTGTGGCTCGTCTTAAACATTAGACCACCGGCTTAATGATAATAATACTTCCCCTCAGCAAAAAACTTTACCCTTACCGCTAGTGTAGCCTCTACCAGACTTCGGGAGGCGACTGGAAAGAGTAGAAATCGGCCAAATAGAGAGATAACATGTCAGGGGAGTTTGGTCTGCGGAGAGAAAACATTTTGCCGCACCCGCACGGTTTTTTACCCGCAGACAAACTCCCCCGACATGTTATCTCTCTATTTGGCCAATTTCTACTCTTTCCAGCCGCCTCCCGAAGCCTGGTAGAGGCTACCGCTAGTGTTTAAACCACTGTTAGAATTGTTGTTTTCGGTTCTGTAGAATGTAGGTTATACCTACTATGTCATATGCCCGTGTCTGGGACCTCACGTGCGAACGTTCCTCGCAGACGACACGCTCTAGAAAGTGGACATTTTTGTTACGAAGTTTTGGGCACAATGCCCACACCGTGCTCTAGTTCTTTTATAGGGACATCTGTCTAGACGGAGCTTCGTATATTGGTCAATGTGCTACTTTTCCAAGCTAGCTAGGTTATAGGTAAATAACATTTCTACAAAGCTATACTCATGCTACGTGAACACTTTTTGTGGGGTATTTTTGTCTACCGTTGTAGTGGCATTCGATAATATGGTATAAACAATCAAAATCAGGCAACAACGGGAAAAACTAGCACTAGAAATTGAGGTCATGAATAGGCCTGTTCATTTTCTGTAAACCCATGCCATAGTTGTCTCTAGCTCTTGGCTTCACTAAGTCTTCATACACTTGCAAAGGTTAAAACCTGACCGGAACATGGGTATGTGTTAGTTACATAACACTCTTCACTCTTGTTCTTGCCAACATATAAGATGACAACAACATCCGATCGGAACCGGTACTTGTTTGTGACCTGTACGAAGATAATTTCCGTCCAAAGAATACGTGGTCCAACAAACGTCCGTGTCAAGTTTGGAACAGTCTTTGGCAACAACAAATGATTCACATTTCGCACGTGTTCGCACTGTGCCCTTGCGGCCGCCAGGGGGCCACAAGTTCGGGTCAGGCCGACCTATGCTAGCTTGGAGAATAAAAACTAGTCAGTTTTAGGTGACAAAAACAAAACAGCAAATCCGCCCTGATACGGAGAAACCGGGAGAAGAATTATGTGTTCTAGACATGTCAAACAACGGTCCCGATTTCCAAGAACTAACGGCAGGAGGTAAATATTTTCAAGAGGATGCTTTTTCAAAACAGGACGTTCTACTGGTATCACTCAGATGTCAATCGGATATGAGTGAGAGTGTGAGTTCGATTGAACTTGACGTTGTGGCAATGACTTTGGCCTGGTTTCTTGGAAAACGTAAACGTCACTTCTTGTGACTTACAGGCGCCAGTGCTCGCGAATGAGTAACGGGTTGTCACTAAAGCTCACTTCCGTCGTAAGGTTTTTTTTGTGGAGGGGTAGGTAGAAATTTTACTGAGGCCATGTCAAACTGAAAGGATACACGACAATTAAATAAATAGACAGATAACATGCCAGGGGAGTTGGTCCGATAAAGGAGTACATTTTTGCCCAATTCCGATTCTTTCCAACAACTTCTGAAAGAGCGACAAAACTGTATTCCTTTAGCAGAACGACTGTATAGACCAACTGTCCTGGCAAGTAATATGTCTATAGGGAAACTTTCTACTCTTTCCAGCCACTTCTGAAGCCTGGTAGAGGCTAGGGTTTAAGTTTACCAAAAAAAAGGAAAATAATTCTTTTTCTCCAAGCAGATTTTCTTAGGCAATGCGTGTCTATTTTGTCCACCTGTAACCATTGGACGCCCCAAGCCTTGGGTACTGCCGTATATTGGACACTGTCTTGCCAAGTAGATGCTGTTTTGTGGGTACCCAAATATCTGCTTGGAGACTAGACATAAGCTTCAACTGAGTCAGTATGGCGGACCTATGGTGCTCACATGTAACCGTACGCGTTCGGCCTTGCCCTGACCAAACGAACGGTTCGGCCTCAGAACGGTAGGCTAGGGACACGTCCGACTTTCGGCCAGAGCGGGGTGAACTAAGGTCACACACGGGGTGATTCCAGGTCACTCTGACCGGCTATGTGGTCAAGCCCTGGATTTTAGGACGGGGTGGCGAAAAGATGCCAGCTGGTTCTATTCCTTGTCTTTCTTGTGTCCTTATACGTTTATGTTAGCTTCTACCAGGCTTCAGAAGCGACTGGAAAGAGTAGAACTTGGCCAAATTGGCTCAAAACATGCCAGGAGAGTCAGTCCGCTATAGGAGAGTGCCTGCGAAGCTGGTGCGTTACGCCGAAGGGCGGTTATACCGGCTATACTGATAACTTTATTCCTTTATTTAGCGGACCAACACTCCTGGCGTGTTATCTGTCTATTTGGCCAATTTATACTCTTTACAGCAGCTTTTGAAGCCAGTATGTTTATATATATCTGTGAGCACTACAGACAAAATGCTTGTCAATGCTTGAGTCGGTTGAAAAAATAATCTAAGGGACCTAAGAAAAGTGGTCACAACGACATCCTCATTTCTTCATTTCCTTCTTTTTTTTTTAACGAAACATTCAGGTTGCTAGACGGATCTTGTTTGTTATGTTTACCCTCCCGCATCAGGTTCGGGGTCTCTTCAGGTCATGTTTGTGTCCTCAAGTGTGGCAAGCAACGACATCCTCATTTCTTCTTTTCCTTTTTTTTTCTTTAAATTTTTTTTTTTTAAATGCAGGGTTGCTAGACGGGTCTTGTTTCTTATGTTTACTATCCCGCATAAACTTCGGGGTCTCTTCAGGTCATGTGTGTGTCCTAAAATGTGGCAACGACATCCTCCTTTCAAGAAAAATCCAGGGTTGCTAGACGAATCCTTGTTTCTTATGTTTACTATCCCGCATAAGCTTCGGGGTCTCCTAAGGTCATGTTTGTGTCCTGAAGTGTGGCAAGGTCTTTGTCAGAGGCCGTCCGTAAAGACAATTCCGTCCGACCTTAAGAGCGTTACGCGATAGCGCTGCTGACAAGGCGTTTGGGTCACGATGACCTCCGGAAGTGTTGGGGGTCCTTTAAGGTTATGTTTGTGTTTATGTGGCCTTAATGTCCTTAAAGTGAAATGCGGCAAGGTCTACATCTCTGTAAGAAGCCATTCGTAAAGACACTTCGACACTTTTTGAGTCTTAAAGGCACTATGGGCAAGGATTTCAGGTACTAGGTCACACTGACCTCAGCAAGCTTAGAGGGAAGTCCTTATGTAGAGACTGTCACTAACTAGTACAGGTTTTACTCTTAGACTGATCTTGTGTATAATTTTCACCTTCCTGCATAACTTTTGGGGTCTCTTAAGGTGATGTTCCTGCGACCTTAAAATGGTGTTTGAAATGTGGCAAGGTCCCTGTGAGAAACCTGCCATCCGTAAAGTCAAGTTTGTTTGGCCTCTAACGGCGCTGAGCGCCAACAAACCTGTAACCTCGAGACGAAACCAAACAAGCCTCAAGAGCGAGGTGAAGACAGGGGGGATTACTTCAAGACGAAGCACGTCTTCGGCTGGTCCTTGTTGACAGTGCGGGCGTCTTAAATATCGCTGACTGACTATCGTTTTATGTTCTATGGTCCTGCTCCATCACGCTAGCGTTCTATTCTATTGTTCTATCGAACTGGCGTTCTATTCTATCGTTTTTACGTTCTATTCTTGGGTTCTATGGAACTGGCGTTCTATTCTGTAGTTCTATCGAAATGGGGTTCTATTTTTTCTACCGTAACAGTTCTGACCTACTGTCGCTGTCGTCCTATCGTCTTGCAACCTTGTTTTCCACCTGTGTCCCCGCAGCTCACTTAGAAAGCTAATATTCTATTGTGCTTCGTTTATTCACATTATGTGCGGGTTTGCAATGCAAGCCGTTTAAGTCTAGGAACCCTGTGGAAAAAAACCGCACAATTTGAAAAACGTTCACGAGCGAAAAGTACTACGAACAGGTCGAAGCAGAACATTGGGTTGGAGAAGCCATAGTAACGTTATATCTCAGACTACAAATGAGCCTCTAGGTAAGATGAATTGCAGCAAACATTTCTGTTTTGCTGACATTGCAAATGTTTCAACGCCAAAATAAAACGCTATTTTCCTTGCCCCCTCAGGGATCGGGCTGGCTCCTTACACGGCCAAGTGGAAGGCGCAGCGCCGCGTCACGGACCGGGCCTTGAGACGTCTTGGCATCGGCAAGGTCACCTTCGAGGGCAAGGTCATGCGCGAAGTCGACGACCTTGTCTCCACAATGAGTGACCAACATGGCGGCGCCTTTGACCCCAAGTACCACGTAGGGGTGGCTGTGTTGAACATCATCTGCTCTCTCGTCTTCGGGGAACACTTCAACCACGACGATCCCTTATTCTTGAAGCTATTCGACGCCTTTGAGGACATTTCGCACTACGGGGGGTCCACGAAGCACCTGAACATTTTTCCCGCTCTGCGCCACGTCCCTGTGCTGAACACGGGCGCCGTTCGAACCATGGCGGCCGTTAAAAAAGGGCGGGAATTCATCTCCACTATGATTGGTCAGCACAAGGCGACCTTCGACCCCAGCAACATCCGGGACTTCATCGACGCCTACCTGTTAGCCATCTCAAAAGAAACTGACGAAAATTCTTCTTCTTCCCCAAAGAAAGGCGAAAATTTCTTAAACGAAGACGAGCTCAGACAAGACATTTTTGACTTGTTCATCGCGGGAACTGAGTCCACGACAACGACCATCCTGTGGGCACTTCTACTGCTCTCCGTACATCCAGAAATACAGACAAAAGTCCAAGAGGAGCTGGACAGCGCCCTCGGGCCTTACAGGGACGCTTCAGTGCTGGACCGGCCGTCCCTGCCCTACACGGAAGCGACGATTCTTGAGGTTTTTATTTATTTATCTATTTATCAAATCTTCAGACAGCTGGGTGGCCCATTCAATTTTGTCAAATTGATTTTTAAATGAGGCCCAGACTACATGAATAATAAAATCATCAATACAACCAAGAAAATAGACTTAAATCAAAATTTAACATAAATAACAAAGGGTTGTGAGCCATAAGTAACACAAATACCCAAAGCTATACACAAATACATATTTTACATGAAATCATATACAAAAGCCGATGCAAACTAGAAAGGTCTAAATCCCTCCTGCTATAAAATTGCAACATAATGTAACCCAACCCCAAGAGGAACCCCAAGAGGAAACAGAGCAAAAACAATATGTTTTCCTTTGGTAAACATAACAAATCAGAATCGTTTTCCAGGTTCTCCGGTTCAGACCGACACCGTTCGGGCTGCCACACGCCACCACGGCAGACACCACGCTGGGCGGGCTCGAAATTCCCGCCGAAACCCAGGTCATCATCAACAGGTAGGCTCCGAGGGGAATAATTGTTACAGACAGAAATATTTACTGTGCATTATGTCAATATGCCATTTACGTTCACATTTATGCAGTTATAGTTTTCTTTCACGTTCAACCAGTAATTACAGCTCAGGCCATTTTGGCCTGCTTTTCAGGTAAATGCTGGATACACAATCATAAGAATACACACAACAAATACACAGTATATAAACAATTTAGTAAATACAACATCCTAAACATCAACATCAACTAGATCAAGTCCTGTTCCTAATGATCTGTTTTTTTAGAAATAGACTAGTATGAAAAGTAATGACCACATTGTCAACCTTGCCATACATTGTACCATGTACAACTGCCGAGCAATAAAGATCATTCATTCATTCATTCAACAGGTGGGCGCTGAGCATGGACGACCGGAAGTGGTCACACCCGGACAGGTTTGACCCAGGGCGGTTCCTTGACCCGGAAGGACATCTGGATGTGCCCGTGTACTTCAGACCGTTCCTGATGGGTGAGTCAAACTTTATATAAACTCCAAAAATTCGTTTGTAGATGTCCGCATTGTACGAGATATAAAAAAAGAGGAAACTCAAGCTATAAATGATTTCCACTTTTTGGCCACTTTGGACTTTGCGGTGATGATGTTGAATTGGAGGGAGAAGATTAAAGATGAAAAACGTATTTTAAGCACAATATTTAATCTACTTCTCTTGTCAGAAATGTGCTGTGTTGGGATATATTGCAAACTCCCGAAAGTGCAGTCCCCTTAGACTAAAAGAGGGACATATGTAGACCATCCCATGCTAGCTTGGTGCAAAGTCATAACTTCACGTATAAATGGTTGTTGGATTCTTTTTCCAAGGTCTTCACCACCTGTGTATCAATATTTTGATTCCCAGGTCGGCGCGCTTGCGTCGGGGCCCACTTAGCCAAGATGGAGCTCCTGCTTTTCCTGACGAGCATCCTGCGGCGCTTCACCATCAAGCCGCCAGAGGGCGCGCCTGCACAGTCCCTGGACGGCCACCTGGGTATAATCCTACAGCCCCCGTCCTTCCAAATATGCGCGGTGCCGCGGTGAGGGACAGAGAACTACAACTGGACTCTTTTATAAACTATTCTGAGGAACAGACAATAAAAAAGAAATAGAACAATTTAAACCTTCTGATCTTCCTCCAACTTCAGAACCATGCACACAACTTGAAGACTTGTTCATCCGAAGTTTGTCCCAAGCTCCTTGTTCATCCCAAAGCCAAGATACTGGGCTGCAGTACTAAAATTGTAGTCTTGCTTGAGAAGAGACAAACAAGTATTTATCTCTAAAACTATATTCATAGGCAATCATATATCTAATATATATACATGTGTGTGTGAGTGCATAATCGTAAATTATTTATTTGGATTATATTTAGTCTAGTCAAAGAATATCAGATATAATATCGTACACCACATATAATAAAAAAATATGATACTTGTATCTACAATATTGTTATGGGTTCACCACACCACGAAGTGGTGGTGAACCCATATTGCTTTTTCTGATGTTTCTTCTTCTTCTCCTCCTTCTCCTCCTGCCATTTTTAAAATGGATTCAGCTTCTTCATTTTAGGGCCTAAGGTCCTGAAATTTGGTATGGAGGTACAGTGGGCAAATACCCCTAGGCGTTTTTTAAATTTTTGTGATACAGGCTTTTAGAATGGTTTTATTTGAGTTTTTTGGCTGTGTTATAGCAAATGTATTACTGTGTTAGTGTGCCGTGTTTACCACGTCTGGGCATGAGTCATCACAATGGAATGCAGGGCATCAACCAATAGGCATGCAGCTTTCCTCTATACTTCTTGCTGATTGGCTGTTGGGATTTAACTTGATTAACACCTGCACAGAGCATTTCCACCTGCACAGAGCATTTCTTGCTGATTGGCTGTTGGGATTTAACTTGATTAACACCTGCACAGAGCATTTCCATACTGACAGTATGTCTTTATTCAAGTGTTTTGGTAGGTATTTCAAGCTTTTCTGCTCCAGCATTGGAATGCGGGGCATGAACGTTTTTTTATTTATTTTGAAAATCAACAGTTTGCATTATGCAATTAAAAATCCTAACCAATAAAGTAGGGAATAGCTATCCAACTGTTGTTTTAGTTGTATGTTACTTCATATTATAGTTATATCAATGTAAATCATTGTTTTCCCTTGTGTTTCTCATTCTTTCCCTGCCATGTCGTAAAATGTGGTGAACCCATCGCTGTATTTGCTCCAAAGCAAATATGGCCTTTCTAGTTATTCAATATGATATCAGTCAGTATGACCTGACCCTTCTCAATATGTATTTCCATATGAAACCACCTCTGAAATGGTCACCAATAATACATGTTACAGTACTAGTCATTCAGTCTTTAGATGTCATCTTAGATAGGATGTAAAGCTGGAGGTCCTGTGTTTGAGGAGAACCACACCTCACCACTTTGGCATGTGTACTAAGTGTGTGTTTTATAGTCGACAGCATTGACTGGGATTTTAAAGAAATTTCATGTATGTTAAATGTTTGACACAAAGTATATTTTATATGATTATATGATATGAGTATGTATTAGTGAGTGTAAATAAAAGATATGGCAGTCTTCATTTGTCTGACCCTTACCTCCTTCCTCATGTCATCAATGAAAAGTGGTCTGCAGGCTGACTTGAGATAATCTCATGAATAAAGGTTCAAACAAACAAACAAACAAACAAACATGGTTAAAGGCCACAATTCTCTTTTATGTGGTCGTCCACCCAGTCAAGAGATACATTATGTACATTTTGTCAGACACACTCTGACTCAACTAAATGGATCATCAGTTCTGTCAATAATCTCATCAGGTTGGCGAATGATTGAATAGCAAAGTTCTTTTACTCACAACCACTTGTTTAAAGAGAGCTGACATTTGAAATGTCGGCTTGTATTTAACAAGTGGTTGTGAATTAAGAACTTTCAAATTGCTAATTAAATGGATCATCCAAACAAACTTACCACTCTTTTTTTAACCCTTGTCCTGCTGGCATTTTTAAGACAATATTTTCAAATAATTTGATGACTTTTTTTGCCCTGTGGTGGCGTAGTTAATTCTGTATTCGTTGCATTTTGCTACTATGCGTTGCACGAGAACTACCCCCAAATCTTACATATACAGGGCACTATATAGATGGTACTGTATGTGCAACCCATATATATATGGGCTCCGCAGGAGAAGGGTAAGACAACGAGAAGTTAGTTTTATATGAAGTAAATTTTACACTGCTCAGTGGTTTCACATTGACAGTTTCTCTACGAACACCTCCAGAATGTCCTCATCCACCAGTCCCATAAACGTGTCCACAACCTTCCCGTCCTTCATACCAACAACTGTCGGTACTGCTCGCACCTGGTGGGAGGGATGAGATTAGGTGGTTTGGAAATTTCTAAAAAACAGGTGTAAACTATTATTTTTTTATTCATTCACATATATTTATTGAATCTACCTGTACAGTAAATAAAGATTTGAACTGCATCAAAGACATTACAGTTTTGTGAATGTGAAATTGATGTGGAACCTTGTAGCAGTAAAGACATGGGATTAGGTGTAAACTACAGTAAGGTAACAATCATTAAAGTTCATCAGTGTTGGTAGTTACATGTTTAGAGTTAAAAGTTTTGGTCCAACACAAAGAAAGCTCTCTCACCTAGAACTTTTGACCAGTCACTCTGGTCTTCCTCAGTAGACTGACCCAGTGAGGCTTGTCACGTGACTTCTTTGACTCATTAAAGTCAGTGTTCACTGGGTCAGTCTACTGAGGAAGACCAGAGTGACTGGCCGAAAGCTCTAGGTGAGAGAACTTCTTTGTGTTCCTGCTGGACCAAAGGTTTCAACTTTAAACCTATGGTACAATAAGGTAACATTTACAAAGTGAATGCATGATGTTTACTTGTATGTACTTGTACTTTACTTGATGTAACACAAACGCTGAGAGTGATCTGGCCCCTAACTTCTGCTTGGTTGGAGCTAACTTACGTCGTACTGCATGGCGATCTCCTGCAGGTTGTCGATGTCGACCTTGGCCAGCTCCACGTCCCCGCCCTTCGCAGAGATGACCTTGTCAAGCCGAGGCGCTAACACCTTGCATGGACCGCACCATCTGTGAAAAGGGGGTGGTGGTTTGGTTTTCATTCATGTACACAATACCTAGTACCAACCGATCTTCATCCTGTGTGTGACCTGTACTCTTCATTTATTTTCATCATTCAATATTTTGTAAATTTAGAATTGACTCAATGTGGATTGATTTTTTTCTGTTTTACTGAGAAATCTTAAACGACATATCTGCGCCATGGTATTAAAGTGATAACTGAAACAATTGAAGGGATATGTAACTTGTCTCATACAAAATAACTACACTTTGACTTTGATGGAGGATGTCACCAGAAGATGACACTGACACTCAAACCTGCTAAAAAGAGTACATGAAGATAATTTCCAAGCAAATTTTTCAATGAAATGATGATGGACAAGAAAGTTTTTTTTTCCCTTTTTGTTGGTCTACTGTCATAACATGAACTCACGTTGCATGGAAGTCCACCACCACTGGTTTTGTGTTCTTCAAGACTCTGTCCTTAAAGTCTGCCTCATCCTGTACATTGAAGGAGAACCTTGCGACCCTGCTGGTGGAGAACGGGACAGCTTGCGTGGTGCTGAGGAGACTGGGGCAGGCTAGCGGTGATCTGTGGAGGGAGGGGGGCGGGGTGTGGAGCCGTGCTGCTGACACAGAGGCCTGGAGAAGTCTGGTCAGCGGTCTCAGTGCCATGGCTGAATGTCTGGAAGTTTGGAAGACAACAAATTATGATGGGTGAACCAATGAAGTTTTCTTAGTTTTTTTAAAAAGTTTCTTGAAAGATAACCATTAGTTACAGCAGCTCCTAAAATCATTGCCAGGGTTGAAACTGTGAAAGTCTTGGACCTTACTATTAAAAAGAATAGAATAAGAAGAATGAAATGCCAATGTACTGTATAAGGTAAATTGCCTGTAGAAAAGCTACTCAGTACAGTGTGCCCCTGGGAAATTCTCCTTTCCTACTTTTCGTTTAATTCCTACATTGGGTCTATTACAACCATAAATTTAAAATATCATTGTGTAATATAAGTCAGGCTTACACTTTTCACAGGCTTACACAATTCGTAATACAGAATCTAGAGTGCTTTGCATCAAGATACTAGTAATACGGAAGTTTAATTTTCATTCTTCTTGGATCCAGACAATTTTACGTGCCTGTTTGTTCTTCATCTTTTCATCTTCATCTTTGCCGGGGCTCAAAGATGTTATGTGAGCCCCGGCTACACCTAGCCTGGTATCCAGCCTTCTTAGCTTTAGTCCGCTACCCAAGATCCGCTCCCCGCCAACAACAGTTGGCGGGGAGCGGATCTTGGGTAGCGGACTAAAGCTAACAAGGCTGGATACCAGGCTAGGCTACACCCCCATATAGCCCCTGATGGGGCACTTTAGGGGGGTAATGCCACTGATGGTATTTAGGTCAGAGCCTGGCCCGGGACACACAACAACATGGTATTGCGTCACTGCACAAACTTGAATCGCCTTCCGTGTCAGGTCGTGCAAAGTGCACCAAAACTAGCTGAAAGACCTTGCATATGCGACACTGAGTCAGTATATTGCTTATGCTATCGCTCAACTAAATTCTGTAGTCTGTTTTTGCCTAAAAAACGTGAAAGAAACCAAAAGAACACTCACTAAAATGTTTTCAGTCACCTTCACGCCTTCCACAGACCAGCTGGTTGTGTACACGTCACTGAAACTGAGGGGTCCCTCGCGGTGCATGGCGGGAGATTTGTGCACACGGTTTTGTGATGTCACGCCTAGCAACGCCCCTAGCGACGGCGACGCCGTCAGACGATAGAAACATTCGCTGCTCCCCTGGGTACCTCATTCAGACGTTTTCACAGGTATTTGGGTCATTTTTTCGACTTTTCGTGTTTTCTTACATATTTTAGCGGTTTTTGCGTCTCTGTAAGTGTACAGCTTTTTATTTTACTGAGGTAAAAAGTGAAATTTGACGGGTTAAAGCAACCACCTGTTGCATATAAGTTATAGCCAACCAAATAGCAGACGACGGGGTAGCAACATAGAAAAATTGCATGCAAAATTGTGCGTTACTAAAGCATATTCTACGCTCTATTCCATCAAAACTTCAACGTTGAAGTGATTTTGAACTTTATTGAACATTTAAAGCTCTTAAACTGGACTATTTTGGTGTCTCTTTTGTGGAGTTGACGTAACTTGAATACTTGCCCCCTTCAAACTTTAGACCGCTGTGCTTCATGCCCCATTTACAAACAAAGAAAGTCAACAAAGGCGGCTGCTCAACAACTGTCATATTGTACCCTAACAGTTCATCATTCCGTTCGAGTAGCCAATACTGCAAACAAGAAGTGTCAATAGTCGGCCTAGCCTCTACCAGGCACCACGGATCGCTGGAAAAATAGTAGAAATTGGCCAAAAAAAAGGGAATACTATACCAGGGGAGTTGGCCAGCCAGATAGGGCACATTTTGCGACCCACTGCCAACTGGTACAGTGTTCCCTCTGTTTTGTCCAATTTCTACTATTTTTCCAGCGATCCACGGTGCCTGTAGCAGCTATATAGTTGGCCCTAGTCTATATAGTTTCAAGTTTGTTACATGTAGTTTGAATGCCGTAAAGTTAACAACGCGTTGCTTAGGAACGGTCGAATAGCAGACGACAAAATCATACGGAGAAAAGTTTGTCAAAACTTAACATTAAGTGTTTCCGTCACTTAATGGAAAGGATGATTTTTTTTCTTATCTTAAAACAACTGACATATTTTCTCAGTAGCATTGAATAACAATCGGGCACTTTGATTGAGTATGATAATGTTAAAACTGCCACATACCACTTTGCTGTATGTACAACAACAAGAACTACACCAACACACTTTTCAGTAGATGGTGGTATATTATTATCTACCCAGTGAGCGATCGACTACGACCTGTTTGCTTTGCTTGTTAATTCAACAGGTGTTCGTGGATTATTGGTTGTGTCAAAGTCCACCGTTGATTCGTGTTACACTTACAACTGTTTGTTTTGTTTCTAGAAGCCATGACAAACTTACCATGAAGACACACAGCTGCCACACGGCGACAAAAACTAGCGAAAAAGTCGGGCCTTTCCGTCCAATTTCTGTAGTGTAATTGTTGTTAAAATCGTCTAGAGGTTGAGATGGCGGTTCCTTCGGTGACGCACTTCAAAGCCAAGCGGACACAAGCGCTTCCCGATCGTAGCCTCTTCGGCACGACCTTGGATTACGATACGAACTTGAAGAAAGCGCCGACGCCGGAGCTAGACAAGATCGGCGCCGACCTGATACGACCGAACACGAAGTGGAAGGACCGCATGCAAGTGACGGTGCCCTTCGCTACGACCGTGAACGACGAGAAAAATTTGGCCAGTCTGAGTTTAAAGCAGGACAATGTGAGGCAGCTAGCCGGGGACATCAGGGGCCTGAGGGAACAGGCGCTTTACTTCCGGCCGGAACAGGTGCTGGAACTGCAGAATATCAGGAGGAACTTGACCAAGGTAAGCATAATTATACTGAATCTTTATTGCGTATTCATCCCCATGGGGCTAAATGCATGATGTTACAAGTATAAGAAGACTGTCATGAAAGTTCATCTGTGTTGGTAGTTACATGTTTAAAGTTAAAACTTTTGATCCAACACAAAAAACTCTCTCACCTAGAGAAGCCTCACTTGGTCAGTCTACTGAGGAAGACCAGAGTGACTGGTTGAAAGCTCTAGGTGAGAGAACTTTTTTGTGTTGGATCAAAAGTTTTAACTTTAAACATGTAACTTTAAACATATAAGAATACTGAGTAACATAGTAATGAAAAGAATTATTCAAAGGTCTACAGTGCTTCATTCTATCTGTCATCTAAGTCTTATATATTGGTTTCTTTCTCTAATGTTCAGGCGGCAGTGCGAGAAGAGAGAGAAAAGGAAGAGCAGGCGTCCACCACGTCCACTGGTCGGTACTACGCAGACATCAAACCCAGCTACCGGGACTTGGAACACAGTCACACTGTCAACAACGTGGGCATAGGCAACACTGGGCAGTACGACTGGCACAGGCAGGGACCCAAACCCTCCCAAATCGCCCCCTACAAAGTTATCGGAGATGTCTTCCACACTGGGAACTTTACCACAAGTAGACAGGTGGACAGGGGATATGACATGCCTCCACAGCTTAAAGCTGCCAAACTGAGGACTTCAGAATTGTCCGCATTTGAAAAGAAGAAACAGAGAGTTGCGGAGGCCCGAGTTCCAGCTAACATACGGCACACGTACGGTAGTAAGATCACCAAGGAGGCCATGCTAGATGAAGAGCTGAAAGAAAAGGTATAGATAACTTTCTTTCAAGGATTTACTTACTTTTACAATCTTCAATTACTTCAATTAAAGAGGGCATTCCAGCTTTAAAGAATAGTACAACTTTCATTCTGTTGTGAAAAAGAAACTTTATTAAGGATGACTTTCACTAAAATCATCCAATAAGCAATTTGCATGTTATCTCTGAAAAAAAAAAATTTTATAAGAACAGCTTATTCTGTGTAGCGATGTTCCAGATTTCAACCTTGACTTGTTTTCATGCCACAATGCTTTATCTAGTCTGGGTGCCATCCTCCATATATTATGCTGGTCCTCATTAGGGATCCAGCAGAAACTATGGAGAATGGCACCCAGGCAAGGCTTTATCAATATTGTTTATTGATTATCGATGAACTGACCAATACAGGTACTGAGGGAGAGAAGACAGAAGACCCCCAGGCACACTGCCCTCCCTCCCCTGAAAGATGACATCACAGACCCTGTGTACACGGACCTCAGTAATGTCATCAGGCTGGATGTCTTGCCAGGTAAGGAATCAGACACACTGAGGAAGAAAACTGTCAATCTCCAAGCAGATCCTATGGTGGCAAAAGACAGCATCAAATTGGCCAGGCAGTGTACATGTACATAATGTAATCCAACACCACTGGATGACTGCTACAGCACCAGTTACCATGGGGACAGGTGACTGGTCCAGGTCATTGACCTTTTGTGTTTGTGAAAGAAGAAACTGAGCAAAAACTATATATTATCCTTCTGAAGATAAACATAAAAAGATGATGATGGTACAATTTTCTAATCTTCAAACAGGTCCTAGGGTGGCAAAAGACAGTATCAAATTGGCCAGGCACTGGGTGGCAAATGGATACTGCCTGGCCAATTCGATACTGTCCACCAAAAGATCTGCTTGGAGATTAGGTTGGTCAGGGGAAGGTTCTGAATGTGTGACAGGCCAGGGCTTAAGAAGACTTCTTCATTTCTTCCCATCCAGGTGCCCCATACCACACCAAGAGTGAGGTTGCCTCCCACTTCACGCTGGATGTCCACAGGAACGTACAGAGGGACGAGGACTACCTCAAGTACGGACGCAAAACTGACTACCTGGGTGAGTCAGAGCAGACTATAATACAATATATACCTTACTGGTTACATGTAGCCTCTACCAGGCTTTGGGAAGGGACTGAAAAGAGCTTTGCTTTGCAGTGTACTCCTTTAGTGGACCAACGTCCCTTATATATTATTATCTGTCTATTTGGCCAAGTGGCCAGCCGCTTCCTGAAGTCTGGTAGAGACTAATTTACATGCACATACTCAAATGACAGTATTGTTAAGCTGTAGAAACACGTATTCCCAAGGCAGAAAACATTAGTTACCCTGAATCTATTGCTGTGAACAACCTAGACACAGTACATGCATCTGAGTGTGTTTATTTAGTAGCATTTATTAACACTGGTCACTTTATATTTGGAAAGTCTTGAAATTTGAGAAAAATTCTAACCCATATCCTCATATACATTGAATTTTGTAACTCAGAAAAAGGTATGAGAATGAACTGTCACTAATAGAGTCTCTAAAATTGGAAAATCGTCTTTCCAAGTCATAGGTGACTAGTGTTAGCTTTCAAACTAATCCAGCATTTAACCCTATTGCAGCAGATGTCCTGACTAACTGCACACAGAATTACTGGTATTACTAGGTTCCATCCAACAAACAAACAAACAACAAACAAACAAACACACCATAACTAACCACCATCACTGATTCTGTTCTTCTCCTAACAGGGAAGTGGTGCCAGGACAATGTGTACAGAGAGAACGTTATGAAGGCCTTTGACAAATGGATTCAGGAAAAAGCCGCCAAGAAACAGTAGAGATGCATGGGAGGGACAGTTACACTTTAAAGGTGCTGAATGGTTGAAGTAATATGACTTAAAGAAAGACTGTCCCAAAGTACATGTAGTCTTAAGTTGTATAAGGAGACTGCTAGGAGTTTTACATTGGCTTGTTTTGCCTATAGATGGATGGATGTTTTGTTGCCATGTATCAAAATGCCATGCAAGTTGCAAGCCAACATTTTATCTAGGCTCTTTGAAATTGTCAAAGTCCACACAAACTTGATTTAATGGATGGCATCCTACATGTACATGTAGGTCTGGAAATTCTCAATCCAATGGGAGACAAGAAAAAAATCTTTCTTTGCAATACATATACCAATATTGTTACTGCATTTTGTTGACCTTTAAAGTGTTAGGGTAGCCATTTGGCACCATTTAATTTGGCTTGATAAGGGCTTAGGCAGCAGGCCAAAGTTAATTTTATGAAGAGGAGCAGGCCAAATAGAAGTGCTAATCTATCAAGTCAAGCTTGTGTGGTCTAATATTTTCAGATGCACAACAAATCACGATCATGAAACGACTCTCTTCCCTGTGTTTCCCCAGGTAAGTGGAGCGAGTCCAACGTCTACCACCAGGCCATGAAGAAAGTCTGGGACCGATACCTCGCCGAGCAGCCCAAGTACCAGGCCAACAGGGAAATAGTGCCAAGGGAGAAACCCAAGCCCAAGGAGAAACCTCCGCCCAAGCCGAAACCCAAACCCAAGGCTCCTAAAGAACCTCCACCACCTCCCGAAGAACCACCCCCACCCCCTGCTCCACAAGAACCGGAGGAAAACTTCTGGGACTTTTATGACCAGCCTTTAAACCTATAGTACATCATCAGGGCTCGATATTCGTTTTTGGGAATAGGTTCATTAGCTGGTGCACCCAATCTAAAAAATTAGGTGCACAGAAAATTTTCTTGGTGCAGGATAAAAGATAAGAAGAAGGTCTGGGACAGATACCTCGCCGAGCAGCCCAAGTACCAGGCCAACCGCGACATTGTGCCAAGGGAGAAACCCAAGCCAAAGGAAAAACCTCCGCCCAAGCCGAAACCCAAACCCAAGGCTCCTAAAGAACCTCCACCACCTCCCGAAGAACCACCCCCACCCCCTGCTCCACAAGAACCGGAGGAAAACTTCTGGGACTTTTATGACCAACCTTTAAACCTTTAGTGCATCATACAAGCAAGTCAGCAAAACCCGTATTGTATTGTGCAAAGCCTGCCAGCAGAATGTACTAAGTACTACTGGAAGAAAACTTCTGGGATCTCTATGACCAACCGTTAAACCTATAGTACATCATATATCATGTACAAGCAAGTCAGCAGAATGTACTACACCTGTGCAAAACCCGTATTGTGCATAGCACTGAGTTAAAATAGGCAGAACATACTGCGCCTGTGGCAATAGTCTTAACTCATGACAGAACACACAGATGCATGACATATTTAGTTTAAAAGTTTAGCTTCATGACATGCTAACCTCTAACTTCTCAAACTCAGGATATCCTGACAGGAATTAGATACTATGGCAAACTATGACTTAATATTATTTAGGACCTTTCAACGTTACCAAGTGCTGCAATCATGTCATATCATCCAGATTGGATATAATTATTTAACCCATAGTCTTCCAAATGAATATACATACACAGTGCCATTATCATACTATTTACTGTGTAACTTTCACACAGAATCAAACGTCCTTTTACTGAGATTTTTGCGAGGGGGATTTTAAAGAAAATCAAGAGAGAATAGTGATATATGAAGTTAAAAAAATATATATTATTTTAAGGAAGAATAATGTTTAAAGTTGATATTTAGCTGATATTATGAACTTTGATGAAGTCCGTCCAAACATGGTGCCATTCAGATTTATTCATAATTTATGTTTAGTATGTACCTTGTTGCTGCTAGAAACATGACTAGACCAGACATAATTATAAAAGCAACTTGATAACACTGCTGTATATATCAATGTAATGTATACTTTTGTATGTTTTTGTATATTTCTATACTGTTGACAATAGATAGTATGATTTTAATGTATATTCAGATTTTTTAAAATAAAAACATTGAAGTTTACAAAACTTTTGTCAGTGTGTGAATGTAACCGGTAACCAAAAGGCAACCCTGATATAAATTTTTCCGGGTAACAAAACATGTACGTATACAACCATATTTACAAGAACAATCTTTTCACAACTTTAGAGAAAGTCACAATGGGAAAAATTAAATGAATTTAATGTATTTACAAATCTCCAAACTATGATATTGAAAATTAATATATTTTTACACAGTTATGCATAACAAGAACATTTCTTCAAATGAGCAAACCCTTTTAAGTGGAAAGTATACTTTTAACGTTTTTTAGGGCATCGGCTGTGTCAGTATTTGACACTGAGACCACCTGTAACAACTTAAGACAGTGGGAATTTATTCTTTCTTGTCCTTGGCCCCTTTCCCCCTTGATACAACCTTACTGGCTCTTCTAGCAGCAGATAGAATTAACCAAGACCCCAGAGCTGCTGCTGCCGTGGTGCCTGTGATGACTAACCCTGCATGGCTCTGCTGACCTATGGGGACTTGGAACAACAGGGGCTCAGTCTGAAAGACAGAGAAGAGAAACATTTACTTACAAAAAAATTGTATCCTAATAAACTCACATATGTTTTTGGCAATCGTATCACTGCAACCTACTGACCACTGTTATGAAATGCAAACTGAGATGGTTTGGTCATGTTGCAAGATCCCCAGGACTTGCAAAAACTGTACTACAAGGGACAGTGCCAGGAAGTAAAAAAGGGGGAAAGGCAGAGAAAGAGGTAGGAAGACAACATAAAAGAATAGACTACTGGATATAGTTTAGCTATAAAGCCATAAAAGTGGCAGAGGACAGATTAGATGGAGGAGGATAGTGGACCAAGTCATGGTGCCTCAACGACCCTCAACGAGGTCAAGGGATAGGTGAGTGAGTCAAGTGATCACTGCAAATTCTATTGAATTGCTTTCAACAATGTGTCATCATCTATGGGAACAGACTATTCAGACTGAGTATTCTCAACTCATAGGATGGATCCCACTCCCAGGTGAGAGTAATCTTACCTCTCCACTGATCAGCTGCCACAGACAGACTCTCTGTGACTGAGCATCACACGGTGCAGGGAACAGTTTACTCTCCTCACAGGGGGTGGTCACCGGCCGGTCTCCTAGGTAACAGGTGGAGAGGAAGGTAGAAATTAAATGTTGAACTACATCTTGTACACAAAAGGTTACTAAATTTTTTAAATTTTATAAAAGTTTATCACTATCTATCCACAGCATCTTGAATTATCCTGTTCACAAAGAAACTAACAAAACGGTTTACTGTAGTGACATAGAATTCGAAACCTGTGCACCATAAGGCCCATTCTTAAACTTGACCTTCATCTTCCCAACGGTAACCTGCCTACCAGAAATCATGTACACACATCCATTGCTTCATGATTTAAGCTGCATAAATACACGTACAGTCACCCCACCATAGCCAAACTGAAAACATAACCTTCTGGCGGACGTAACAAGCATTGAAAGCATTGGAAAAGACTGTAACGTACCTTCACAGTGCATGAGAAGATCTGGTCCCTCTAACCTGACAGTAGTGGCTGTGTCCTCCCCCTCCCCAGCCCACCTGTGGTACCGCAGGTGTACAGGTAACACCACTCTCCAGGTGAAACCCTACAGGTGAGACAAAGGTAAACACAGGTGTACAGGTAACACCACTTTCCAGGTGAAACCCTACAGGTGGGACATAGTCAAATACCTGTTAGATAACATCTAAGAAGTATGTCTGAAATAAATGTTTATATTCTCACAATCTTCACTGCACCAGGTAAAACATATTTTCAATCTGTCTGAATTTAACCCTTCCACTGCTTTTTTTCAACCTTCCTCTTGCTACCTACCAGTAATCCTGTAACCATTACTGATTTGATACTACGGTACTAGCCAAACAGCTACAGCAGTGTGAGGGAAACAGTTTTATGTTCAGAAACTTTTTAATGTTACCTTTGGGCTCTGCTGCAGAGGTGAGTACATGAGTAGTGTGTGGTGAGGAGAGAGGTGAGCTGCCTGTTCAACATCAATGTCCCTCAGGGCCAGAACCTGCAGACAGACACAAGTTTCATACTTTCTCACTTTGGAACAAGTCTTCTTGTTCCGAACATGCAGTCAGCAGTTCATTGGAGTTTATTCAACTTCACCTTTAGCTGTGTACCAGGAGAGAACACAAGTACATAAAAGATATAGGAGTACATAAAAATATGGGTACCATATAATTACAAGGTCTCAAAGTCTTTTATATACAATTCTTGTTTCTTCCTCTTCTTTCTTTCTTTTTACTGAGCCCCATTACTGGGGTTATTACCAGATTGTGCATGTGTTAGTAACAAGTGACCAGAACATAAGAAAAGAAAAGGATAATGAAATGTGGAGAACATAAATACTAGCAACTGATTTTGTGTGTGCAAAGGAGTCAAGACAAGAGAGTTTAGTAATATATATGCAGAAGGACATGTCATTCATGTGATAGACCCCCCCCCACCTGAGGTCCTCCGAAGTCTGTCCTGAAGGTGACCTGGTGAAGGTCGACGTACATCCCGGCGGGAACCGTCTCCACCAGCAGCAGCCGGCACGACAGGGGTGGGGTTGCCATGGAAACAGGCAGCGTCACCTCGGTTACCACGTCTCTGCAAGTCAGGGGCAAAATTTGCAACCCAAAAATCTTTTTTCATGTAATTCAACTTCGAGTTCACTGTTCTTTATTATGCCCATTGGGTTAACATTGGAGCAAAAATACTAGACTAGTATGCAATTATATTTTGTATACCATGTGCCTGCAAGTGCAAAGCTGGTGTGTTACACCAAATGAAGTTAATATCGGCTATACAGACACCACCAATATTTTGTGATATACCTGTGAAAGCCGTGGTTGAGAGCCGTTCTGTTGACATGAACATCAGACAGACTGGGACAGACGGTCTGGATGATTTTGTTCTCTCTGCCTCCTGTCTTCACAATGAACTCTGCGAGGGGCAAGAAGACTTTTATTCACTTCATGAATACAAATAACATTAACGCAAATTCAACGGATTAAATTTAAAAAAAAAAAACTGATAACAAAGTTGGAGGTTTACTTGTTAGCTAATACAACTGGCATGGGAAGAGGAAAGATTACGAAGGGAGGAGGGAAGGAAGGAAAAGGCTATTGCCTCACAATAGGGCCATACCACCTACGGGCTGATCATTTGTACAAAGTACAAATGTACTATAATAATTTAAACAAACAAAAAATCTTCTCACCTAACAGAGCAGTCGTCAGCTCTGCCGCATGATCAGAGGTGGCTCTAGAATTCCCCAGTAGAACGGCAGTACAGATCAGGGACAGGACGGGGGCTGTTACACACTTCATACCGGCAAAACAGCAACTTTTTTTAGTTTTTACAAAAATTCAAACCGCCCGCCAAAACATGCGTACTCTAAATTTAAACCCGCCTCTACGCCATGGAAGAGGCACCACGCGACCTAAAAACTGGTTTCACGTAAAGTTCAATGTTTCTGAAAATAGAATTATCTTCTTGAATATGCTAAGGATACTTTTTACAAGCAGAAAACGTCAAAAAGAGGCAAGAAACACTGTAACTTGTGTTTTTGCGATCTTCCGGCAACCATCTTGGATTACTACAAGGCTGAAAGGGGTGTGTTTTCACATTGCTATGATCACAAATAATGCTTTATTTGATCATTCTGGGACAAAAAAATGACAAACTATAGTTTTTAAATGCACATTTATTCAATATTATATACATTAATGTGTACATACTTGGTACAACTGAATACTTTTTAATATTGAATCCTACCTAAAAAACTTATTGGTCGCGTCTGTTGACCCAGGTCAATCCAACATGGCGACCATGAGTGCGTGTTTCGAGGTGTGCTCTCTGCCGAGTTCCACCCGTTTACTGGGAGTAGAGCCCATGTGTGGCGGGGAAAACATCATTGTGACGACCGAGAAAAGTGTGCGAGTGTACAGGGTAAGTTTGGTGGCGACTGATTCTGGCATTGCGGTTATATGTCCGCCGGAAAAATGAGTTCATGCGTGCACGTGCGTTTGTTGACAATTCAGGGCGCTACCCTTTTTTTTCTTCCACACACAAATAGTTCTCGATAAAGATATGTTTCCGTTGCATACTATTGCTTATTTCCTTGCATATGAAAGGGAAAACGTAAGTATAATACCGTGCTATGTTTTATGAGGGGAATTTGGCATACATATTTATAGGCCATATTTTGAGGTAGCTCTATATCTTTTTCAAATTCTTTACTTTCAAGATTGCTGTTCAGCTTACAAGTTATATTTTGTCCCGACGTCTTTGTTAACTTTTCAGGGGGCAGGCACATCTTATTTTACATATCCAACATGCTAATAATTACATACCCTGTCCATATATCCACTACCCCAGATGCCAGACCACTGGGCCTGAAGTAATATCCAGTGTGCACAGATCCACCTACTACATGTAACTTATATTGTAGGCTAATTCATATATAGCTCGCTGCAAAAACGAGACAATGCAATACTTAAGTTGAAGTTAAGACCTTTCTTGTTCAGATTTTCTGAGCTGGTATTAGGTCTGTATTAGATGAATCTATGCTCACCTGTAACACCTGTTCCACCTGTTCCTCTCTGCAGGTGAGAGACCAGAAGCTGCTGCACACCTGGTCCATCAGACAGCAGGGCGGCCAGCTGACCTCACCTGCCCTCTACAACCCGCGCACCGAGGAGTTCATCGTCCTCATGAACAAACAGGTTTGTTTGTTTATTTGTTTGTTCTATTTAATTTACCAGTCAAGTCAAGTGCAATGGCCAAGTGGGTAGAGTGTTCACCTTGCATTCGGTAGGTCGTGAGTTTGATCTCCGGCCGAGTCATACCAAAGGCACAAAAGCCATATCAATGGTAAGTGCTTTCTCTGCTTAGCACTCATCATTTGGGAAAAACTATGGGAGTTTAACACACACCACTACCAGTGGACTAGCCCTCTGCTGTAGTTGATTGTACTACGTGTGGTCCAAAGGCTACTGAACCAGAGATTGGCGTTGTCCTATGCACCACCTGGTGCGGGAAGGACTTTGACTTTATTGTATTAACTGTTACATATTATATTAAAAAGACTGGCTTCTTGTTCAAGCTTTGGAACATGAAAGTTAATACCAAATATCTTGTATTTAGATTAATCTTCATGTGTTCATCTGCTGACTTACTTCTGTTCCAGACTATCTGCTTGTGGACCAAAGACTTGGAACACCTGAGCAAATGCACCAAAGTTACGGTAAGTCACAGGTTGGTTTTGAGGGAAACATTCTACCAAGAAGGTTAAAATACAATTTGATTTTAAGCTTCTTGTTCTACCTCACAAAGAGACCTCTACATTACGTGTATGTATTTGTATCTGTGTCTGTATAGCCAGTATAACCGCCCTTCTGTGTAACACACCAGCTTCACAGGCACACGGCGCGGCAGCAGCTGGCTACATTATACCGAACGACTTGCTACACCTATCCATTGAGCATCTAACTCTAGACATTGTTTAAAGCTATCCAATGACAATGCCCCTATTGTACTTGGTGACAGCGAGTTCCACTCTGCAATAGTTCTAGGAAAGATTGAATTCTTGAACACCTCAAGGCTCAATCCTATGTATTGTATGTATTGTCACAACCATAATTTAAGACTCTAACAGGAGCTGTACATGTCTTTTGACTTCTTGATTCTTGACGCAGGTGAAAAAGCCCATCTCCCATCTGAAGCTTCTCCCTGACGCTGACCCCATCCTTGTGTTTGATGGCGGCTCCCCCTGGTGGCTGCCGTGCATTACTGCAGCCCCAGACACCGCTGTGCTGGATGTGTTGGATATTGAGGAGGAGCTGGTCTGGTGTGATGTCACCGGGAGGGGGGAAGGTGTGCTGGCCGTGTGTGTGTCGAAGGAAGTGAAGACAGACACTCAGGTGAGATATTTTAGACTTTCTTAGACACTATCCGTGAATATTTTCATCAGGTTGATAATTCACGGAGTAAAGAGTCTCTTTTTTTTCACGATCAAGTGTTTTATGTTCTCCATAACTGCTATTTGTTTTTTTTATATAACAGACCACAATTATGTATATTATTATCGGACTCCTGTTCATTTGGGACCACATTGTAGATACAGTTTCCTGTAACCGTGCAAGTATACATTGTATGTGCAGCTATGTAAGTATTGTATGTTTGAAAATGCATCTACAGCAGCGACACCTGTACGTGTGCTGCAGTGCAATGTGAACCAGTCAGAATTGCCCTGAGGAAAGTGACAGACGGTCACCGAAACTTCGGCTGTGAAGAGAACATTTTGTGAAAAAAGAATTTCTTCCTTAAACTCTGGTATAAATGTATGTTACCAAATCTTGACATGGTTATTCCTAATATGACACATACTTTTCAGAGCTACACTGCCTATCTGTGTGAGCTGTTGCCAGGTAACCAGGACACGCCTGACTACCAGACCCTGCAGCTGACCCCACCCGACAACACCTCCACCCTGCTGTGCTGCTGCCTGGAGGAACACTTACTGTCTGTCTGTAAGTATGCAGGACACACCAATCTATTAGCCTGGTTACCAAACCTATTATAGCTCCCGAGTCCTACATCCTCTCCAAAGATAGAGGATGTAGGACTTAGGAGCTATAATAGGTTTGGTAACCAGGCTACTTGATCCTTTGAAGTTAATAAAAGAGTTCTTGTTGTTTTTGTGTTTTCCTTTGCAGGAGGAAAACATATTGTTTTTGCTCAGTTTCTTCTTCTTCCTCTTCTTCTTTTCCAAACAAATAACAATGAGTCAGACCTGAACCAGATGTCTGTCACCATGGTAACTGGTAGCATACACCCTGTGGTGTTGGATTACAATTCCAATATATGTAGCAAGTGGCAGGACAGAAGAGCGGCTGGTCACCATATACTAGTATATGAATGTGTTATAATAGTAAGAATAAACAGAGCAGTTAACAGTAGTTTGTTAGGCTAGTATTTTATGCATTAACTTATTAAATGATATTCAAATAGCAAATGTTACCTTCTATTTCATTAATGTTTCCACTCTGTAATCTCTTTCCCAGGGTCCTGTGGGTCTGTCTGCTCTCATTCCCTGGATTCCTCCCTTGCTGCTGTTGAAGACGAGGGTGTGGTTGTCCCCGGCAACGTCCTTCACAAGCTTGACCTTCCCAAGGGCGGGGACAGCGGGGTTTCTATGGTGATGCTCGGACCTCACCATGTTGGTTTGGCCATGGAAGGAAAAGGTTTGTATGAATTTGAAACAATGAAAGTATCCACTTTTTTGATTTCAAAAACTTTTGGCGGAAAGCAACTTTCTTCCTCTTTGAAATTACATGTATAACGTAGAAAGCCAAATACTAGTACACAGTAACAGTTTCTAATGTAAAAATGTCACCAACTTGCAAAAGGAGTAAATATTGTGATTAGGTATGTCTGCTTTCCATATTTCATCTTGCTGTATAACAAAGCAA